TTATGTTGTATTTCGAAGCCTTCTAACAGAAAGAGGGGATTGTACCTACCATTACCGGTTCCTTCTAGGCCGTGGGAGAGCATTTCTATGGATTTTCTAGGAGGGTTGCCAACTACGAAGCGCGGGCATGACTATTTGTACGTTGTGGTGGACCGATTCAGCAAGATGGTGATATTGATTCCTTGTAAGAAGACCGTGACGGGAGCGGGTGCAGCACAATTGTTCTTCGAACATGTGTGGAAGCACTTTGGGTTGCCGAGTTCGATTATTTCGGATCGGGATAGCCGTTTTCTCGGGCATTTTTGGGATTCTTTGTGGAGTTTGATGGACACCAAATTGAAGAAGAGCACGGCATTTCACCCACAAACAGACGGACAAACGGAGGTAGTCAACCGGACTATGGTGCACATGTTGCGGGGGTATAATTCTAGGCATCCTAAGACTTGGGATGAGAGTTTACCATATTTGCAGTTTGCTTTCAATCGGGCGATTCATGGATCTTCAGGGAAGTCACCGTTTGAGACTTGTTATGGATTTTTACCGCCGAGCCCGTTCGATCTTGTGTTTTCAAGTGAAGCCACAGTGGACGGCAAGGAGGGGAGTGAGAGACAACGTGCTCAGCGATTTCTTGAGAAGATTGCAAATATTCATGCCACGGTTGAAGCTCAATTGAAGAAATCGCAAGCTAAGTACAAGGCGAAGCATGATCAACATCGGGTTCCTTGTAACTTTGGTAAAGGCGATATGGTATGGCTAAAATTGAGTAAGGAGAGGCTCAAAGGAGAAGGGAAGAAGTTGAAGCCTATTCGTTATGGTCCATTTCGGATTATCGATTAGATTGGCGACAACGCTTTTCGTTTAGATTTGCCACCTTACTTAGGCATGTATTCGGTGATCAATGCCGAGTACTTGAAGTTGTTTGAACCTCCGTTATTGGATGATGAAGGTGATGACAAGTTGATCTTACCGCATGTTGAAGACTTGTGGTTTGATAGAGAGGAGCCACTGAAAGAAGATTGCATTTTGGAACGGAAGACGACCACGACGAGGCGGGGGACGAAGGAGTCGTTTCTCATTGGACGTCAAGGTCAGGTACCTAGCAAGGCCAAGTGGTTCAACAGAGAAGGAGGGGCTCGCGAGTTCCCTCAGCTGAAGTTCTAACTTGAATGGGACTTCAAGTTCCTAAAGGGGGGACCCATGATACGGGTGTATCTTCTCTTCGGGAGCTTAGCGATCCTCATGGGAGCTTGAGGATAGATGATTCTCATGGTATCTTGAGAATAGAGTAGAGGAGTCGTGGACGAGGCCATTGGAAGCAACGAAGTCGAAAGGATTCATCAAAACTGCAGAAATTACAGTTGGGCTCTGTCCGGTCGACCGGCGTGGTCACGGCGGTCGACCGCATCGTGCACGGACCCCAACTGTGTCTCGGGACTGAGATCGGTCGACCGATGGTGGCACTGCGGTCGACCGGAGAACCCTGTAATCGATTTTCCAGATTTCGTCGTTCTGACCGGTCGACCGACTTGGGCACTGCGGTCGACCGCGTCGCGGATCCGGGCCTGGGTCTGTTTCCTGCTCCAGTTGGGATTTCTGTTTAGTATAAATAGAAACACGACTTTTCTAGGGTTTAGAACTCAGTTTGTAATCAGAAAAAAGATCAGGGAGGTTGTTCTTTGATCTAGAGAGATTGTGAGAGAGAGATTTGTAAAATCCAATTGATTCTCATAATCTAGAGAAGGTATTTTCCTTCGCCCTAATTCAACTCTTGTGTTCTTCTGTCGTTCTTCTTCTTTACCCACTCTTGATAATTCCGCGATCAAGAGTGCTCGCACGGCAACTCGTATCACACGTGCATTGGACGTGAGCATACTTGTTTAATATTAAAAAATTTAAATGTGGACCATAAAATGATGAAGTGAATCGATGGAGAACTCCCTATTCATGTACCAAAGTTGGTTTAGATTTTACCAATATTCATGAAATCTAAATAAATGACATAATAAAATATTTGTGCTAGGACCCTTAGGTAATTAGATTGGCCAACAGCTGAAAAGACCTTAATCTGTAGGGTAATGAGACAAAAAAAGGAACTAATTCATATCATGTTTCAAATTTAAATACATTATCAAAGTCTATACTAATCATCCGCATTTGAAATTGAAACAAAACATACATACGTAGAGAGTCGAATTTACTAAATAGCTGATTTCTGACATGGATTAATAGGGTGAAAAAAATTATAATCCTATGCATGAACAAACCTATTCTATAAACATAATAGCAACATTAAAAGATGTTTTAATATTAGAGATGAGAGACACAACTTTGCTCAATTTACACTAAGGTTCAAACATTTAAAGAAATGCTAATTAATAAGATATTCCTAAATAAATTTCTTAAACTTAAAGCTAAAATTGACATGTTTTGATGATGAAGATATATCATGCGAGTAGGGATTTGTCACTAATTGAAGTTCAATGCCGATTACAAGAGAAACTGATTATATCGTTCATATGCATTTTATCAATATCTAGTTTACAAAGTAGCACTGAATCACCGCGATAGCATTTTTATAGAAATCTATTACATCTTTAATGTCATCCTAGGCAGTTCAATTCTTAGAAATAAAAATCGGATGGTTGGAAAGAGAGGAATAGAGAAATAAATAAAAAAATAAATGTCATGTATAAAAATGAGTTATTAAGTAGAAGGTAAAAAGTCAAAGCTTAAGAAGATATCACTTTAGTAATCATGGTCTATTTATAATAAAAATATAACATTTATTTTGGAGGCATGTATATGATGTTGGTTGTTATTTATTCAACTTTTTTTGTTTGAAACCACAATAAGAAAGTTTATTTTGTATTTCTCACTGTAACAGGTAATACAATTAGCCTAATGCATTCCCAATCGTGGCCATACTTCATGATATTTAGCATCATAGATTTTTTTTTGGTATAATGTGTTTTATAAATTACACTACGAAATGCGTTTAGCGGGTTAATTTTCAAAAATATTTAATATAATGAGATTTCAAGATCCATTTGTTTGTTTCAGAGTTTTTATAATGCATTTTGAAATTCGAGTGAACCCAATGTCTCCAAAAAGAAAACTAGCAACTTAAATCATACCAAATTGACTCATTTCTACAATAATCAAGTTTCGAAACACATTTTCAAAATTCTAATTAAATTAGAGGAACATACCATACTAACACGTGCTTGAGCAAATTTTATTCTTGAAAGAAGTCGACATTGTGTGCTTTGCTAAATTTCCCTTTTAATCCAAGTAGAGTTCTAGTTGAGCTTTTCTTTTGTAATTGTGAATTTGGATTAGTAGGTATTATGGTGAGTGGAAGAAAATGTGTGAGCTAATTTATACTCAAGAGATGAAAGAGAAGTTATATAAAAATAAAAAGGGTTGTTTGTTAATTAATTCCGTTTATAGTTTATGCATTGATTCAAATTGAATTTTTAAAAGTCTAGACTCTACATCTTGTTATTATAGTTATTTGATTAATTTTGTCGTATATTATTGTGTGACTTTGGGAAGAAATTTATAACCTTGAGCTGAAATTTTGGACTCATTAGCAGCTGGTGCTCAAAAAACACAAAGCAGTTAAGAACAAGGCGCATCATTCTCTAATTCTATCTCTTATATGGTCTCCACAAAAACTCTGGTCCTCTCATGACTTAAACTTTGATGTCCCTCAAATACAGTCATTTCAATTTCTTAGAGAGGAGAGTAGGTCGCAAGTCTCCCGACATGCACTTAAGCACGAAAAGTGAACATTGGCATTTTAAAATTCTAAATATAGATATAAGCATTTATACGTAGTATTAGATTATAAACTATTGATAATAATTATATTTTTGACCAAATATTTTTGGGGAGATTAGGATGTGCATTTAATAAAGAGTTATGGACAATTATTTAAGGATTAATTATAACTAATGGTATAATTGTGAATTATTAAAATTTGAAACGACAAAATAGGAAATCAAAAAATTTGACATGTGTATTCTCTTTTATAAGTAGTATAGATAGATAGATATAGAGCTTCTCTCGCAAAAAATCATTTAGGAAAAGAAGGTACATTGGTACCAATTCTAAATTAGTTCAAACGACATACAATATTTACATCAACTATCAACAATATGATACCAGTCCCATCATAATATTTCTCCGCGGGAAATTTCTTGCCTTTATTTTATTTTATCCTTTCCTTGAGAGCGGTTAGTCAAGTATTTGGATTTGCTTACATCCGCCAAAGAGAAATTTCTCAATCGGACAAACACGAGTGATATGGCTTATTTATTTCTTAGAGATGGTGGACGAGAACTAAAGCGGACAAATTTTCAAAACCAACCCTTTTGGGTTTTTAATTGCAAAAAACGACCGGTTTTGAAAATATTTATAAAAACCGACCTGTTTTCAGCCCCCTGGCTGAAAACAGGTCGGTTTTTGAAAAAAAATTTCCCAAACTTCACGGGAGTTCAACTCCCGTGAAGTTTTTCTCATAACAAAACTTCACGGGAGTTGAACTCCCGTGAAGTTTGGGAAAAAAATTTTCAAAAACCGACCCAGTTTCAACCAACTGGGTCGGTTTTTATAAATAATAGTGAAATGGGTCGTTTTTTGCAATTAAAAACCCAAAAGGGTTGGTTTTGAAAATTTGTCCGAACTAAAGCAGCTCTTAATAAATCGGGGGAGGTGGGCAATTGACAGAAAGAGCACAGTTCACTAGTGTTTTGAGCTTTTTCTCTAAACACACATTTCAGCTATGTATAGCTAGGGGGTGGAAGAGAAAAGTTTAAACTTTGGGGAGTTTTGTGAGAGACCCCCCAAAGCTCAGGAAGGTTTTGTGAGATAAAAGCAAGTTTGGGGATCATGTCTAAAACTCCTCCAGTACAGATCAAAAACAGGTATTGCTTTATCACAGCTGAGAATGCTCACGTACTTTCAATAAAACATCTGATAATTTGCACAAAGGAGGGGGGAAAACTTCCATTACCTTAGAATTGCATGATGAGATTTCTAGCCTGCTGGGGACATGAATGAAATTTTTTAGACCTGCAAAGAGAGCTCAGTTTACTCAAGTGCGGGCAAACAAAAATTTCAAGCAAATCAAACAATGAAAAACTATGGAATCAGAATACGTACAACGGTTAAATAAAAGTAGCAAATCCACAAGATGAATATGATAGAAGAAAGACGAGCAAAATTAGCCAAAGTAATCACAAGGTTAGATTTCTATTGAAAGGAAAAACAAAGTAGAAACAACTGCAACGCTGAAACATAAAGGGTTTTATTTAGAGATATATATTGGATCATTTCATGGCTTCCCTAGCTAGCATTCTCTCTTCTTCCTCGGCTCTCTTCCATGCAGCCTGAAAACAAGTCGACAGTCAGATAAGTAAAATGCAATTTTGTTGGTCTAAATATTAAGAACAAGCAACAGGTAGAGGTTTAACAAAAGTCTTGGCACTTGTTCCTCAATCTGTTGACAACAAGTTATCTGTCAGATAGGCAAAATCAGATACTGTTGTTTAGAATTTCAAGAACAAGTAACAACTACAGGTTTTAATAAATCTGTGAGCACTCGTTCCTTACTCTGCTGAAAACAAGTTATGTTTCAGATAGGCAAAATCTTATCTATTTGCTCTAAATATTAAGAACAAGCAACAACTAGAGGGTTTAACAAAATTCATAGCCTTATTGCTTAAGCTGATGAAAACAAGTTATCACTCAGATACACGAAATTTTTGGGCCTAACTATTACGAACAAGCAACAAAGCTAATGGCTTATGGCTTACGCTCTTGAAAACAAGTTATCAGTCAAGATAAACAAAATCTCATTTTGTCAGTGCATATATTAAGTACAACTGAACAAGCATTAACCAGAGGTTTAACAAAAGATTAGCACTTATTGCTCAATTGAAAACAAGTGATTCAGATATACGTAATCCCATTCGTCGGTCTAACTACTGAGAACATCTAGAGCTTTAACAAAAAATCTTAGCATTTATTGTCTATTCTGTTGAAAACAGGTTATAAGTGGTGCGATAAGCAAATTTCCATTTTGTTGGTATACAAACTAGATGTTATGAAAATTTGAGTGCTTGTTGCTTACCCTATCTCTCTCTAGCCTCGAAAGATGTGGCCGTATAGAATTTCCTAAGCTTAGGCCACCCCAAGCTTCCTGCAACTCCCTCTCTCTTGCTTCCTTGCGAGAATCTGCATATTTTGTGTAATCATCAGACTGCTGAGCTGCAGCCAATTTGGCCTTCTCGAGTTCTGGCTGATGCCTGACCAAAATCTTGTCTAAGCTATCTTCTGTAGCCTCGGTTCCATGTTTCTTGTTTTTGACAATGTCATATACTGGTTGCTGTGATGCAGCCAACTTCACCTTCTCAAGTTTTGATTGATGTTTAACCAAAATCTCATCTAAGCTCCCAGTCTTTTCGAGCTGTTGCGTGTCTCTTCTTTTAACCGTTGTTGTTGGACCATAATCTTTTCCAGACACCATTTTTTCCTTTTCGAGCTTGGAGATGTGCTTTACCAATACCTTGTCTAAGCTCTCTGAAACTCTTGCATCAGCCTTTTGCTTCTGATTATCTCTTTTCTTCAAGTACTCAGTCTCCCTTTCCAATGCTTGTATTTTCTCTCTCTCCAATCTGTGCACTGGCTTGACTAGGATTTTATCAAGGCTAGACTGTTCGTGAGAGGAAAATGTGGCTAGCACTTCCAGTTTAGCTCTTTCAAGCCGAGAGAGGTGTTTTACAGGTGATTTCTCCATTTCGGTACCAAATTGAGTTCCATTGGTATCAGATGATGACACCAGTGTATTAGAGTCTATATTTTCTTTGTCCTGATATGAGCTATTGTTTCGGGACTTTCTAGCTTCCTGTATCTCCTTCTCAAGTTTAGAGACGTGCTTTACAAGAACACTTCCAAAATCTGAGACGTGCTCTGATGACGTAAACTTCTTTGGCTCAGCATTTATCGGTTCAGAGGCTCCTGTAGTTTGTTGAGATCTTGAGTTCCGTGCTTCTTGAACTTCTCTCTCTAGCCTTGACACATGCTTCACCAGGAACTTGTCAAGACTGGGCACTTCAGTAACAGGTTCTTTCCTATTTGAATATCCATCCATAAAACGAGCGACACTGGAGTTCCTTCTTTCCCCTGTTCCATGTTTATTTGTACATGAAAACCCATTCAGTTCATGATCTTTGCTATGTTCTAGCTCGATGAGAGCAGCATTCAGACCACAAGTGGCGACTATAGTAGCAAGCGAAGCAAGTTCATCTTCTTCTAGACCTTTAAGTCTATCAAGCATGACGGTGACAAGCTCAATGAACTTTTCAGCAGTGCTCTTGTCATGACCATTATCAAACTGACTGCAGTTGGATCTTTTCTGCTTCTTTTCAGTATCCTGTATATTGACTGCATCATCACCACTAAGGTCGGCGTCCAATTCAGATTCTGAATGTGTCTCTGAAAAATCAAGACTAGCTTCATTATTGTCAGGATTCTGGTTGATTTTCCACAGCAAGTCTTTGAATTCTTCTTTATTTGAAGAGTGGGGACCATTTGCAAGCTGTATAAATGCTCTTCTAATTGCTGCCATAACTTCCTTGTCTACCTCAAATGCAGTTTCGAAAGAAGCAGTGACAGTGTGGGTAGATTTTCCACTGAGGGATGGATGAGATTCTACTTCATATGATCTCCTTGGAGTATCTGGCCTGTCATACATCATTACTCCCTTTGCTCTTGCCGCTTCAAAAGCTTCTGCTGCACATTTCTCAGCTTTTTCCAACTCAGCTTCTGCTTCTTTATTTTGAATTCTGTTTCACAAGAGAAGTTAGTTAGCAGAGGTCGCTTTTTGGGGCATTACGAAAATATTGATGATGTTGACACCTGGCTGCACGAAGTACTCGACACCATGAAGCTTCAACCATTGCGGCTTTACGAGCTTCCATAGCTTTCCTTGCAGCCTCTCTCGCAGCAATTTTCTCCCTTGCTATCCTTGTATAATGTGGATTAGCATTACCTAGAGTCTCATCAAGCGATAAGTCCATCCCCTCATTTTTCTGCAAAAAGTAATGTTTTGGTAAACTCTCAAGTCTAAGCTTTTGTTTTTATTAAAAAAAAAGGAATCTGGCAGTATTGAACTACCTGCAGAAGTCTGATTTTCCTTTTCAAATAAGAGTCTGTCTTCCTCCGAGGAAACCAGTTCAGTGGAGAACCACTTCGCTTGTATTGAGGTTTCTTAATTTGTGATACAATTTTAGAAACAGAATTCACAAGGGAATGTGCATTCTCTCTTAGTCCTCCGTTCTGTGAAATGATAGCATAACATTAATATATTTTTTATTGCAAATTTTTTACATGCAATGTGTCCTGTAAACGAGCAATACAGAATAGAAATACAGCTCAGTTGTTAGTTCAAGTTATTTAACTGAGCAATTTGTCCTAAATAGACCTGAATGGATACAAAAGATTGATGTAGCCAAACCAAAGTTGTTTCTTCACAAACAAATAAACGAAAACGTGTTTCAGCACCTAAGCATACAGATAAGTATTACTTTAATTAGACATTTTGCAGACAGTACTGTATCAAGCGTAAGCTAATTTATTTCATGATACATGCTATGGGGGCTACTCAGGACTAGCTCAATGGTAAGTAGCGAATCCTAAAAATTTCATCTTCCATTTTCATTTGTTAAAGAATTAAGAGGACATTCATCTAGCACAAATGCAGTTTGATGGAAGTGGTAAAGTTAAAGGGGGCTGTAACGTAAAGGATACATGCTGGCTATAAGTAAAATCTTTTAAGCTTCAAGCTAAGTACAGAACTTGAGATAACAACAAAATATGATAGCATTTACCATAAAAGTTGTAGACAATAACTTTACAATGGTTTAAACATTTTATCTAATACCAGGCAGTGTCATTGCTCCACTCCAATTAACCAACATAGGGCATCACTAGATAAAATGTTTAAATGCACGCAGGTGACGTAGTGAACCCGGAAACTCCTATAATCCATCTAATTAGTCAATTAAGGATACAAGTACTTAGACATCGAACTTTCAGATATGTGAAACTGCAGTGGAAGAATTATTATGAAAACGAACCCACTTGGGTAATCAGAAGATTTTATCCAGAAGAAAATATCCAAAGCTGAAAATTGTGAGTTTCATCGATTCATCTCAGTGCGTTTTATATTAGCAATAGCCATCATCTTAAAACATCGAATTTTCACAACTCCATTCCATGCGTGAGTTTCATCAGATTTTGCTCATTTACGCAATTGTTGTCTCGTCTAACGCCAATATCAACTTAAACTCAATTGCTAACCAACTCCTTAGCTTGTAAATTTATAGGATGTAGGGATCAACTGGACACAACTCCTTCAGAATGACATTCTATCAAGAATTTCAAAAGCCTAATTTAGGGGTTCGCAAATCAAGAATGATCATTCCAAGATCTACGTGAACTCTCAGATCAAAATCTTGATAGCAGCCCTAGAAAAGACGAGAATACTAACAGTTATAGGCACAAGACTCCAAAAAGATCACCTTTCTTCCACTTCCAGTCGCAGATCCTGATGCCTCGACCTCCGATCCTTTGTTCTTAAGATCGGCAGGAGTCTCGCTATCGCTCGCCGATTTCGATTCCGATTCCGATTCCGATTCGTAAACGCAACGCAATTCCATGGCGGATAGAGCTCAAGAAAATAGAGATTCTGCGAGGAGATCAGAACGAATTTCGCAAAGAAAGGAAAATTTGTGGCGAGATTTCGATAAACCCTAGAAATTTATGAAGAGAGAGAGGGAAGTGAGGAAGTATCCGTTACGAATTTGTCTGGAGAGAGAGAGAGAGAGAGGATCAAGT